AAGTACTAAGCTTATCAAATCTTATTTTATTTAAATTTAAGTACTAAACTCGTTAAATCCCTTTCCATTTTATTGAAAGTACACCACTCATCAAATTTTTTTCATTTAAAATAAAGTATTCAAATCAGCAAATCTCTTTATATTTTAATGAAAGAGCACAACTCATCAAATCTCTTTCTTCTAAATTAAAAGTACTTAAAACATTAAATATCTTTTCATTGGAAATAAAGTAATCTACTTATCAGATCTCTCACTATTCAAACGAATATACCAAACATTAAATCATTTGCTATTTAAATAAAAGTACACAATTCAATAAATCTATGTATATTTGTATAAAAAAACTTAACAAATCTTACCTTTTTTGATTTAAATGAAAGTACTTAACACTTTAAATCTCTTTTTATTTAAGTGAAAGTAAATTATTTATTTAATCTCGTTTCATTTAAATGAAAGTTCCCAACTTATCAAAACTCTTTTCATTTTATAAAACTACCTAACAAATCAAATCTTTTTCCGTTTAAATAAAAGTACTTAATTCTTTAAATCTCTTTTTATGAAAACGAAAGTACTTAACACATCAAATTTCTTTCTATTTGAATAAAAGTTTTAAACAAATCAATTATTTTTTCAATTAAATGAAAGTACTAAACTCATTAAATCTCATTCTAATTAAATAACAGTACTTAACTTTCAAATCTTTTTTTATTAAAATGATAGTACTAAGCTCATTAAATCTGTTGCTATTTAAATAATAGTACTCTACGTATCAAATCTCTTTCTGTTTATAATAAAAAACTCTACTCATTTACCTTTTAGATACTACACGCCACTATAGTGTCTTTCGCTGATATTTTTTCTCAGGACGACACGCCACTATAGTGGCTTTTGCGGATATCATTTCTCAGGACGACACGCCACTATAGTGTCTTTCGCAGATATCATTTTTTAGGACAACGCGCTACTAATGCGGCTTTCGTGTATCTCATCTCTTTGAACGACGCGCGGTTTTAAACAAAAAACGTAATAATGCGAACGTTTTATCTTACACTACAAAAAGAAATTTCGAGAAAATACAGGGATATGAACAGTAACATTAGCTGCAGTAGATATACCGTGGACGAACCGTTTAAACTAACTGAGAAACATTTCCCATCCTACTGTAAATCTAAAAATTCCATAAAAATATTACGAAATTGTATAGTGTGTTCCCAAAACGATACAAGGCGAAGATCTCGTTATCAATGTGAAAATTGTGACGTATGTTTATGTATTGTACCATGTTCCAAAATCTATCATAATCAATTATATTATTAGTTATTTAAGTGGAATGTTATAGTAAGATTCAAGCTTCTTCCAATTTGATGGATCTTTTTACCAACAACTGGATGGTTCTAGTATGGGCAATCCAGCAAGCCCAATATTAGCGAATTTGATAATGAATTACGTTTTAAAAAAAATTGAAGGCAACTTACCCTTTACAGTTCCATTCTTAAAAGTATATGTAGATGATATCATAACTGCAATACCTAAAGATGGAATGGAAGTAGTATTAAAAACCTTCAATATGATAAACGAAAAAATCCAGTTTACTATTGAWATAGAAGACAACGGAACATTACCATTCTTAGATGTAACAGTTATAAGAAATGAAGACGAATCGATATCAACGAATTGGTATGTAAAACCAACAAGCTCAGGAAGATGTATCAATTACTATTTAAACCATCCTTTAAGTCAAAAAATTGGAACTATAAATGGTTTACTATATGAAGCTTTAACATTAAGCAATAAGAAGTTTCACAGAGAAAATAAGGAAAAAATAGAGACTCTTTTAAAGAATAACAACTATCCCAAGAGTCTCATTAACATGGTATTCAATGAATTAAAAATTGACAAAGATCGTGTAATAAAACCGATTCTGCAAGAAAAAAATACATTAAGTTCCCGTATATTAAGCTGTTAGCAAACAAAATAAATAAATGTTTTAAAAACACTAATATTAAATTGGTTTTTTATAATCTGACAAAAATAAACTCTATTTACACTAAATTAAAAGATAAAGGTAATAAATATGACCAGTCGAACTTAGTGTATAAAATACCATGTGAATGTGATAAAAGCTATATTGGTCAAACGAAACAGAAATTAAAAAAAAGATTAGACCAACACAAAAATGACTGTAAACCTATAAATGTGAATAAAACCAATACCACAGCGTTAGCTGAACATCATTTTACTACAGGACATAATTTTGAATTTGACG